CAGTTTATAGTTTCAAGCAACTTCTATTTTAATTCAGATAATAGTTTTTGTTAATAAGATTATATTCTTGACCTGTCATGTGTATATTTACTTTATTTTTCTCATATACTTGTATATTTATACATGTACAAATGTTTCATGAAGTGAAAGCTTGAAAGAAAGCATTGACCTCTACGCGAAATGACGAGTGACCTTCATAGTGCAAACTTCATTTCAATTTTATATATTTGAAAATAGAGGCATTTACATACATACCACAATGTTCTTATGTATTTACGTATCAAACATCTACACCTCAAAATATAATATCAATTAGTCTTAATAATGTTACACATCAAAATATAATATCATGATGTTATCTATGTAATGATTTAATTTTAAATAATATTGTAATGAGAAATAAGTATCATGGAATAAGCCTTGAACTTAAATTACAAATAAAGAATACATGAAGCCTAGTTGGAGAAGAGAATAGGATGGTTCAGGCTTGACTAAAGAGCCTTGAATGAATAGTTTATTTGAAAAAATAAATGAGATTTATTCAGCTTTGCAAATGAGATTTTAATTTGGCAAATTTATTTAATAAGTTTTACCATAGCGAGCTAAGCTTTATTGAGCCAAGCTTATTCACATGTTGCTTGTTTGATATTATGTCGTCTCTAATAACAACATGCTTGATAATAGTTTTTCTAAGAGTTGATCTCGGGATTCCATTCTCGGACCTTCTTGTCGCGAGACTGGAGCGCATCTACAGTAACAACATTCTTGAGAACTTCATCGAGGATATATTGTTTGGGCAACCAACCGTGGATTATTGCGGGCCTCTCACTAACGGGCTTTCCCGGCAAGATTTCAGCCGGACCTCTGTCGACCGACTCTCGCTCTCAATGGCGACCCTTCTCTAATGAGTTATGTACTGATGGCTTCTCTGTCGTCCTTCCCAACAGCAAGTTCTTCCGTTGTTCTTACCCGAAGGACTTTCCCATAGGAGACAAAATAGTCTTTTACTGTTGGTCTTCCGAGTCTCGGGAAACAACACTATTTTCTTCCACAAAAATCCAGCGTTGGGTCTTGCAGCTGGATCAATCGCCGACCCTTTTCTCCTGCAACATTTTTTCTTCTTTGCACAAGCATCAGGGGGAGCTGTGTTTCCAACCGCCCTTTCTTCAGCTGCTTTCTCTGTCAGCAGAATTTGTTGGGTGTGATTTACATGTTTCTACGCAGTCAACGATAATCACGGTCAATTGAAAGTCAGTTTTCCTATAAATTGTCTCTTTCCAAACCCACATCTACCTTCTACGCCGAAACACATGACAGACAAAACTCAAAATTTAGTCAAGCTTGATTCTAATAAATTTGATAATCCGAACGACTTAGGAATTATTTACATACATTCCAAACTTGAATAGTAGTGTTAAGAGTTATACTAGGAAATAATTTATTCCTGTAAGAAGTTATGATGAATAAATTATTTCCTTAAATTAAGGAGATATTTTCTTTCATATTTTATATTTATTTCATTGGATTAGAAGTTATTTCTTTCCTTATTTTAAACTTTCCTATTCTATGATAGTTCATACATCTCCTAATAATTAATATGAATTGATCATCGGAGATATAATTTGATGTATATATTCTTTCATATCATTTTTTTTTTATTATATTTTCTATTATAAAATTCATATAAGAGTTATTTATATCCTCTTTTATATTAATAAAATTATTTATTTTGATATTCCGCATTATTCTGAATCTCAATATATGCGGATCAATATAACCCTGATCAATTTAACCCTGAATCACTTCAATTTTCAAGAAGCTTGGAATTTGAGGTGAAAAGTAATAGAGGGGCACCAGAGTACAAAATTTAAATAGTTTAAAATTATTTTATTATTTTTTTAATTCTCTCCTTCATTCCGATTGGTTGAATGGGACGGTGGAGTATGGCGAGGGCGATGGTGGAGGCAGAGTGGGAAGAATTGGTAAATAAATATATAAATTTTGGGGTAATAATATATATACATATATATATATATATACATATATATATACATATATATATATATGATCGAATTGGTTAATTTGACCATGGAAGGTTTCTTATTAGATAATTTTCATAGTCTAGAAGTGTTTTTGCAGTCTATCCCTCAATTAGAAATCATTTTGGCAGTTTTGACAATGTTCGAAATTACTCGATTATAACATGCGAGCCGTCACATTCGTTATTCATTATTTGTTATTCGTCATTCCCTTAATATAGGATCGACTCAATTTATGAAATATATCTCAAGGTTAATAGTCTTCCAACTTTGAGAGTACTCCTGTACGTTCACACTTTAGAGCTTTATTAGAAATTCTAACCATTGCATTAAAAGGTGTATTGATGTTTAAGAGTTCCGTTTTATTCTATTTATAACATTTTACATAGGAAACACAATATTTTTATTGATATCCTCGTGGTATTATGTGGAGAGAGTCATGTATCAAACATTAGAATGACAAATCAATGTTATAAATAATTAATATATTTATCTCATATGACTTTGTTTAAAAATGTGCTCACCTTGTATCTCATTTACTTTATAAAAAATTAGTGTGCAAGTATTTGAATTTAATACCATTATATATATATATAT